AAAAAAAAAAAACGTAAAAGAAAAAATAGATGTGAAAAGAGTTATAAATCATACATAAAAACATTCTTTTTTAAAAATTTATTTAAAAAAATGTGGAAAAACGAACATTTTATTGATGTTGGTGATTTTGCAGATGCCATTTAACGATGCAGCTGAGAGCGCCTCATCGCAGTATCGCTATTCGGGTGTATTCATCGATATGCTAGTGGCCGGTACATTACTGGTCATCTGTGCCCTGGTGGTGTTCATCTCACAGATGTTAAATTTCATTTTCATTGTTTATTTCGCGATCTCTTTCGGTGCTGTTACATTCATAATTGTTGCCATTGGTATACCATTGCTCAGGCGACGAACAATGTTCCCGTTTGTCAATCTCTGGGCTCCGCGACACGCCATTGGTTTGTGAGGGGAGGGGGTTTTTTTCCTCATTTTCTCTTCATAAAAATGCCTATCAAATTTTCGGTTTGAATAACAGTGCAGGAAACGGGGATGTGATTTGTAATGCGTTGTAGTGATGATGAATTGACGTAATTTTCACCTCATCTGAAAGCTTCCGTATTTGTATTAAATAAAAAAACCACTTTCAGGAATGGTACTGATTTTGCTGCCAGCTGGTGTTGCACTAACAATAGCTCCACTCTGTGACAGTTCGTTTGTCCATGAACAAATTTGCGTTTCTCCCAACTTGCTTGCTCAGCGAATTTTATTTTGTATGTCCTTTTTTATTGTTTATTTGTAGTTTTTGATGAATCCCATGGAACAGTTCTTTTGCGTTAGTTATGACATCTCGAAAAAATGGAAAAAAAAAAACAAGAGAAAAAAGAAAAATAGGAATTTAAACATGTGAAGAAGCTGGCAACGCTAATGTACTAACCAACGCATGCATGTCGTTGTGAAATTCTAATATATGTGAAGAAGAATGTACTGTCAATTCTAATACATATGAAGAAGCGAGTAGTAGTGCTAATGTTGCAGTAGCATGCGGAAGTCCCACGAAAAGCCGAAAAAAATTGCTGCTGTGTTGTGTTTGATAGCAGTATCAGGCAGTGAAGAGCAATTTGTATGCGATTAGCATAAAATTAAATATAAATGCTCCAATTAAAGCACAAGAGCCGGTGATGTAGTGGTCTGCACATTGCGCCCGGATGTGAAGACGAATGATTCGATTACCATTTGGTTCATATTAAAAGCTGCATTTGCGATGTATGTATCTATATGAATGCGAACCAAGAAGTTTAGCATATACGCAAGCTGTTGGGTGGTAAATCCGTTTTGAAAGACACAATGAAAGCAAACATCATGTTTGTTTTGATTGTTATGTGATCCGCGTACTGCAACTTCACCAATAGCAATAGCAAGACTGTTGATTCTAACGCATTATGAAGAAGCCTAACTTTCATGTTTCGAAGAGTATCACGATATGCAAAAAATTATTGAGCTTTTCTTTTTTTTTTATCGATCAAGTGTAGCAGGTAAGTGTTTCAGCCTATGTATTTCTGATCGCATTATTTGCACATTGTAATTTCTCGCAACTCTCGGCTTGGCCAAAAACAGCACAGGCATTGCTGGTTGGTATCATATTTTTGTCGCTTACATATGTATGCCAGTATCGCATCACAGCACTCATCAACAAATGTACTGGTTTTTTTTTTTGTTCGATGCTAATATTTACTTAATATGAATTATTAAATTTCTTATTAGGTTAGACCAGAATTATGAAAGCTATTCAAAGACTGAATATCAGCTAAAAAATATCGAGACACATTGAAGTATTAAAGACTGAAGCTTATATTTAGTTGAGATTAAGACGTTTCGGTCCATGAAGCTATATATCAGCTAACTCAACCACCACAAGTGAATCTCGTTAGCACAACAGTTATGGCATAAATTGTTATATTATGTGTATAAGAAGTATAGATTAGTGCTATTAAAACAAAAAATAACTGCAAAAGAAAGGTGGAAGTGCAAGCTGAGAAAGTAACCGATCTCAGTTTTCAATTGGATGGACTATGCTGAGGCGTTTCAGTCCATTAAATTTTACAAAAATTTGAATTTTATATTTCTTTTTCTTTTTTTTTTATCATGTTTGGGCTTTCTTTTTCGGAAACATAAAAATTACAGCATCCGATTCAAATGTGAGTGTGGGACCGCGTTTTTGCAATGGAACAGTACCGGTATGGGCGCTGGGACGATTTGGTTCACCAATTAGTTTGTACGAAATTTGTGTGGATGTTTTTTTGGTGGTCGTGCTGGTCGCTTTTCTTAATTATCAGGTAAATTTTCCACTGAAGGCATGTTTCTTCATATTTGCAGCTGTTTTCCAGTGTAAAGTATGGGGTTTTTATGCGTTTTTGCCGTGCAGCGCTAGAGCGCTGCAACAGGCAGCAAAAACGCATACTGCAAC